CTCGACCGCAAATATTTATACTTTCGGTAATAATTTTACGTGCCAAAGAAAATCAAAAACAACATCTTGAAGTTCTATTCTTCTGCTAAAACAAGTTATCGTGTTTGATGTGATGCCGATGTCTCGAGGCTGCAGATTGTCGGGTGGGAGGACTCAGCCGTGACTTATCGCGATCAAATTAACGCTGACATCATAAGTTGCCGCCGTCCTTGTAACATCAAAGGCTTCGACGAATTTTACAAACTTATATATTGTATTTTATTACGATACCTATTTTCCTAACGTAATTGTTTACTTATCTATTATATGTTTTATCTTGTTGTCATTTATTTAGACAGTTAAGTTACATCGTAGAAGCTCGGGGATTAGGCCGCGGCGTGCGGGGTGCGGGGAGCGGGGTGCGGGGTGTGGTGCATCATAAAGCACTCCGCTCCGCTGATTTAATGTTCACCAGCATTTACACTTATTATCAGTGTAAAGAGGAGTTAAGGTTAGGTTACATACACCTCTGTACGTACATTTGTTTTAAAGCCACATTGAAGGTGGACGTATTATAATAAAAAAAAGTTCAGAGAACTTTCGTTAAAGTTGCAAAATTATATAAATAACTTTGCGAAATATGCTAATTTTTGAAAGAAGTCATATTAAATTGGGGCAACTTTAACATTAAGCGCTTTGGAAAAGCTAACTTTAATATTTAATTGTTTAAGCGGACCGCCGACTGAAGCCACAGAATGTTCAAAGTTCAATCGAGGCTAAACGAAATTTAAACTTTATTCTTTGTTTGTGCGCCTGTCGTCTGCCAACTACTTCCGGACTCGTTTGCCGCAGATGCAATATAAAGCTAGAGTCCAGCGACAAACGCTAGGAGCGGCTTCTCTCCCGCAGTTCGTTCACCATTGCCTCGTCTAAAAAACGCTACCTCACCCTGGCTCACAATGCCTCACACTGGTAGACGATCAGGTGTCGTGGTAATGTACGTATCTATAACTTACGTTATTTGTTGTACCGAGTAATAAGAACTCGTAGGGTTGTCGCGTCAGACAATTTTTACACCGACACCGAACTAGCTACCAATCCATTTTATATCGTTGAAAACTTTGAGCTTATGCGATAGCTTTTGTTAATATCTTCAGCATATCCAGATATGCTACAACAATTATATGATATATATGATTTATTGACTATACATTACTTAACACTTTGCAGGACGAAGGGATCCAATTAGTTTCACTTACATACTACTACACTTACTTACTACATGGCATTTTTATTCAGATTTTATTTCTGTTAATATTCTCTGTTCATGAAAAGATGTTACTTTCTTCTGTGAAATGCTGCCGTAAAGTTTTTAATTATCGGAGGGTCGCGTAACGAAGTGACACATTATAAAGGCGGCACAAAGACAAAGGCGCCGCCCGCGCCCGCGACCTCTGTGGCGCACCGACAAAGCCTCCCGGCCGATGGTGATGATAATGCAGCTAAAATGTTAATGATGGCTTTGAAACGCTCTCATTTGGTTGCCGACGTAATTGAACCCCCTTCACCCTTCAACCCTATCCAAATGTAAATATTAGTGTGTATTGCTGTTGCGACATATTATATGCTAAAACTTTATTATTTTATAAATTCTGTAAAATCTTTTTTTCTTTTGTTTGGTGTGACGATGTGCGTGGGTGCGTGCGTGTGTGTGTGTGTGTGTGCGTGTGTATTAAAAAATATGTCTTTTAAACACAAGATTCTCGGTATATTTTATTTATTAATTTGGAACTTAAATTAAATGAATACAATGCAAAGAGACAATTATATATAATAAAAGGAATAATTCGTAGGTTGTTTCCATTCACCCGCCGCGTCCGGCGCACCAACATCTCCGGGAGTTACTTATTCATTAAATAAGGCGTCTTTCATAAGCTGCCAATAGCGCTACTTCTTTTTGCGGCGCGTTTAATAGCAACGCGCGGTGCGGGGCGGGGGCCGGGGCGCGGTGCGGGGCGGGGGCGGCAGCAATGTTTACAAGGAGACGCATTATAGAATTACCTCTTTACAACTGAGCCACGGCAAGATGTAGCAGCCCTTTTATTAAAATATTTAATTAAACTGGAGTAAGAAGCCCGTAATGTACTCGTATGTATGTACACATACTGTAACTCCTGTACCGCAGTGGATACAATCAAGTAAAAATAAAAAGTTACATTTTTTAAAAAATAACTTCATAGATCTTAGACTGTATTGTGTCAGATTAAGATGAAAACGCAGCGCTAACAAGATTTATGAATAAATGAAGCCGCAAATAAGTCGCAGCTCGGTTGCTTATATTTCTTCTCCTTGTGGTGAATAAATAATAATCTCTGGACAAGTTTAAGAAAATCTTGATATTTTAGCACATTAACGAAACGTTACAAAACATCACAACCACTAAGCTTTAAGCCACCTGAAATCGCCGTAACAGCGAAGTGACTGCTGCCTATAGACATCTGCATGTGCAGATTAACAAGAACATTTCCCCTTCCTATGTGTTCCCGCATCATCCAAAGCCAACCTTACCATCTTTTCCTTTAAAAAAAAAAACAAAAATGTTCCTGTTCCTAAAAAAGAGCAGCATATTTTCTGATCTGCAGGTCCTTGTACATCGTATCGTTGCGAGGTTGCGACTGTTCACATAACCCCCCACTAATTGTATTGTGTCTAATGTCACAGTTTATATCAGAGCTGTACATCAATGTTACTTCGCTATTTAGTGCTTACTGAGAGCACATTGGGCAGCGGACAGCACATCTGAGCTCACAGTCCC